AGCGAAAAGACGAAAAAGACGCGGATCCGCGTCTTTTTCGTCTTTTTTCGAAGGCTTAGGGTGGGTATTGTAGGTTCTGGCCGCATACCACGACTTCACAGGCCTGAAAGCTCTCTATTATAGCTCGATTATTATATAAACTACAGTGAACGAACTGCATGTCGTTCAGAATAATCCTGGTGTTACGCTGCCCTTTGGATCGCCTACGATACACTCCTCTCCCTGAGACGAGTAGGCGTGCCACTTGACATTGGCGGAACTGGTTACTTGTAGAATATCCCAGTCCGGGACAACTGTCATCTTGTTCTGCGTTGGACAGAAACACGACAACAATTGTGTCAAGATGAAAATATCTCACCAGAAGCATAGACAGTTGAAACAGGAGGCCACGCCTACCCGATCTCAGGGATTTCGAGATTCGAGATTTGACGTCTCACACGATCCAGCTGATAAATACATTGGTCCAAAGGCCATCACAAAAAACGCTATCCAGCCGACCACGTCCCTGATCTTTGATCGTTGATGAGGCTGGAAATTGCGGCCGCTCGTCCCATCCTGATGCTTTTGCAGGCTGAGATGTAACTGTGAAACGTACATTTTCGATGTTCTTTTCAAGTGCTCGCTTCCTCAGCTCTTGCGCTGAACCTTTCTCATAATGATTTATGAAAATGCCGATGATGCTTATCTAATTATGAGGTCAAGCAACGTGCCAGATGAAGGCAACCGGAGCAGTGTGGAGCCCGGTCGTTATCCCTTCAAATTTAATTCCCAAGTAACTCTGTATTCCATTTTTGGGCTATTTCTTCTGTTCTCGTCTCTCCTTACATCACAAAGAACAGCGTTGATCGCTTTAATGAAGAGGGTACGTCTTAGCATTGGAGAGGGGGACTTTTGCGAAAATCAGCCTCTTTCCCCAAACCTTGGTGCAATCCTGTCTCCGGTTGACCGATGATCTTAGCAAAGTTTCCCGAAAATTTTCATCGAGCGGGGCAAGAGGCAGGAGGAAGTAGACACCTTCGATCAACTTTCAGAAATAGTTTGCGGGGGAGGGGGGGGGAGCGGAAAAGGGGAGAATGGCGCAGTGCGCAAGTAACCATCGAACTACCAGCATGTCTCTTATCCAAGTCGGACAGCACCTGCCCTTCTTTCTCTAGTTCTAGTATGGCGAAAAGAAGGGAAAGAGGAGGGTGAGGAGAGCCATTGCCCGTCTCCTCCCATACGATCAGTGCGGACTGTGTCTTTAGTACGCCCACTGTCACATTTACAATATTTAGACAATATGTACGCCCTCCGGAGAAACTTCGAATGTCAAATCTTCCTAGAAACAAATAGAAAGAATATGAGTTCAAAGACTGAACTGAACCTCGAAATATCAGCGAGTGAGAGAGGAACAAATCTGATTTCCATATGGGTCAATGTTGTTTTTCCCGAACAGTAATTCGTTGCTTACCATGATCGTCCTTTTTGAATTAATTATCTCGCAGATGAAATGCAAAAAACATGCCCGGTACTTCCTTTGAATGCCTGTAATAAAAACGTATTCCATAACTCATAGCGGTGTTTGGCTTGGGAGGGGCATTTCGCAGTTTGCTAGCTCCTTTTACTAGTTCATGTTAAGTAACACGTCTCCTTTTGGCGAGACCTGTGAACTCTTTTAGAACTGCGAAATGGTACAAGTGAGCCACTTGGTACAAGTATTCACAGATCTTCACAACGTTGCCTGTATAGGTTTCGCGGAGTACCACTTGCTTCACCAAGCCGAACAGCGCCTGAGCCAGCATTCAATAAATGACTGAACCGATTGAAGAAAGAAAGAACCCGATTAACCGACTGATCCGGATGCAGCACCTGGACTGTATCGCAACAGAATTTGTCTGCATACTTGGAACGGCCAGCAAACGGCTTCACAGCTGTCTGAAGCAGTAAATGGGTTTAGCTCTACGAACCATCAGACCAACGGTTTTTGATATCTTTATAATCACATGGCTCGTCCTAGTCGCAACACGCACTCGGTTGCGGAGCGGTTTCTTCCACTAGGTATAACACCGGTGTGTAATGAGGTCACCACGCGACCACGCGATGTCGCGGAAGGTCACCACGCGACCACGCGACGTCGCGGAAAATCGCCACGCGACGTGCGGAAGGTTGCCACGTGACGCTGCAGGTCACCACCCGAAGTCCGAGGCTGCGCAAGCAGTGTACAGCGAAGCAGTAGAGCATCGGTACGGTGAAATGGTAGACCGGTAAAACCCCACCGCCCAATATTTCGTCGTTCGCTACGACCCCCTAAAACACCTACGCTCTTACCGAATTTTCTCGAAAGTAGTAGTCGAGGAGGGGGGAGGGAAGGGGAAGGGCATACCGGCGTAAAGTGCGAAGACGCAGGTCGGAAGCTGTTTTCTTGAGGGCCCGAACTCCCAAAACTTAACTCGAAGTTCCACCAAATACGACTACGCCCACGACAGGTTTCACGTAGTACGTTGTACACTGCGCGCAAGGCGTCCACAGTGATCGATACGAGCGCCGCCTCTTCTGCTTATTATCCCCCCTTGTCCAAACGCACGCTATTTCAGCATTTCTTCAGGTTCCCTTGCTTCCGGGAACGCCTCTTAAATCGGAGCCGGGAGACGTCAGAGGAATCGTAATGCCGCTCCGCCGCACGCGGCGATGGGCGCGGAGTTCCTTCACTTGTGTTAACCTGCCAGTTAGAGCACCGGACTTTATATAGACCCGTCATCATAGACATTCATGACTATTTTCGGTTCTGAATTGCCTGTTGTCGCCATCTACTGCCTGGAACCATCGTCATTTGCGGGCGCGACGTCGCACGCGACGCCCATCAACGCGACGAATTACGATTCTCTTGTCACATACCCGAGCTAACCATACCATCTTATACTCCAAGTAATGCACACTGATTCTTATCCATTTTCTCTATAACTGTCTGCACACACAACAGAAAAAAATAAGAAATTCATTCGTAAAATTACATTAATAGAACGATATCTGTACACTCTAGTAATTATGCGATCACAGTAACTCATCAGGGCTAAAACACAGCACGAGCAATAAAAACAACGATATTATGCTTAAGTGTAATGAATTATGCATCAGTGGGCACCAAAATCGAGTACTGGTAAGAGATTTGTGGGCAAGAGCACGTTATTATGGACAAGAATGAGACAACGATTAAACACCAGATTAAGGTCAATGCACCAAACTATGGGCAATAATGAAATCGTTAGCAACATGACAACTATAAAGCCAGAATTCAGCGTGGTGGCCATCTTCATAGACTCCCAGGAGGGCAATATTCATCGAGAAGTCGGAAACAATATCCTTCCCCCTCCAAGATGAGGAGCTACCTGATTTGAGAACGGGGTATTCAAGCGACTAATAAAAAGTCTGCTCGTCTGCATCCTCTTACCGAGATAATGATTCATGGTTTTTCTCCCCTGTTCAGCCTCAATAGAACCAGAATTCTTCCACCTAGCTCCGGCAGCACTTAACCAGTAAATGTACTCTGCTGAATTTTTGGCCAAGCTAATTCAACATTCAAAGCATTCGCAGCTCAAATATGCAAAATGACGTTAGTTGCAGGGGCACGATGGGTTGGTTCAGGCGGTTGTTCCCAATGTCTTTGGTGGGAGGCCCGAGTGGGGGGTGGCCACAAAGCGCCCTCAGCAATCGTGCCCACTGCCTTTCAGTACCTAGAAAGAACATACGAAAAGCTCTAAAAAGCGGTAATGAAGCAGTGTTCCAGTAAGTGGAAATCATACTACGAAACACAGCTCTATAAAAAAAAAGCACAAAAATTGCTGGTAAAATAAGAAGTAAGACTGGAAATGCCAAAATGAAGACAATGCCCAACACAGTTTGCGTGAGAAAGCTTAAAACATGATCAAGGAACGTTGGGTGTCGGTTAGGAGACACATCTTGCGAAGCAGCTGCTTACTACTTCACCGATTGGTCTGATGTCGTACTTCTCGAACGAAAAAAAAATAAGGTTTTTTTTTTTTCATTCTTCATAGGGAAATGCCGCACACAAAGCAGCACTTGCCGCAGCGTAGATTCTCCTAACCGACCACCACGCTTGTTCAACATAAATATTATGCTTGAAAGATAAAAATAAATACACTTATAACGTATATGTGAGCAGAGCAAAGAATTCGTTTAAAACAGGCAAATGTACTATCACTGGGGTCTGTTGGGCATTCTAAGCCCCGGCAGTGCTCACCGAGTCATTACTTTCATGACAACTCTGAATGAGCACGTGTACCCACCAAAATGGACATGGCAGGTTCTCGAGTGGGGCATGTACTGCGCTCAGCTTGCCCCTCCCCACTATTTTGCGATTCGCTCAAAATAATGGGGCGCGGTGGGTTGCAGATGACACAGGAGATGGTCAGGAGATGCAAATATCGACATCGCGCGCATGTAACCAACCGCGCTCCGCTGCTAGCAGTTGTGCCACCGAATCGTTCTGTTCGCGAAGTATGAACAGGGGCAAAAAGTATAGGACCTCTGCCCCATGATCTATTGACAAGTGATTACAGTGCTATGTCGAGTCAACCAGCCATATACACAATGCCTCGATCTCCTGAACTCCTTTCCTCCCCCCACACCCAGCTGCCATATCCATTTCCGTCGCAAGTGTCATCCAGTTAAAAAGCATTCAAGCCCGGAGCACACAACATCTTCGTGGTTTCTGTGTACAGCACTAGCACCACGCTTTGGAAAAGACTTCCTCAAGCTTAGTGATGCTAGGACTAGCCACTTCTACAAAAAAAGGTTGGGAGCTGAGAAGGGCCATCAACTAAAACTGTGTGAAGCCAGGAAAATGACATTCTTAACAGCAGATTCCTCTACGACTCGCAAGGTCTTCCTATTCAGCACAACCTCTTCTGAGAGGCAAATAAAGTCAGTGATTTGACAAGGAAATCGTGCCAATAACTACGATATGAATAAGAGGATTGAACCAGCGCAACCTCAACCGACTACTACTCTTCATGGAAGAGAAGTCTAGCAAGCTGATCTTTAGCAGCAATATTCTCGCGTTTGCTTGCCATACACCTCGAATAGTCTTCTTCAACTAAATCCGAGTCGCACGTCGTCTGATGATATCTGCAACATGTCGTACGATTTGAAAACGAATGAAAAAAGTCCCTTCAAAGACATAATCTGTCGTAATCTGCCCTCTCGAAGTCCCTATCAAGATAGACACACTGAGCCCTCCCCCCCCCCGCCCACGATCTAATTTCAGATGTCCTTCCTTACGGGGCGAACCATGGCGTCAGTAAAAATTGGCAGTTTACCTCAGGGTAAGCATCGTGAAGTAGAAACGGTGGTGTACGTACGACCCCCCCCCCTCCCCCAGCACCTACCTACCAATTTCCCACATTTTCCAGTTTCTCACCCAAGAATTTTTCCATCGAGTTGGGGTGGAGTGAATTGCCAATATGAAACGAGAAAACTTCTTAGATTTCCCCCAACTTCCTACCTTGTCCCGAAATTTCCCGGACCGGAAATTTTCCTAACTTTTCCCCAAAAATTTTGTTGTCGGGGGGGGGTATGTAGTACACATCAAACAGGCAAAATCGCGAAAGTCAACAACTTCACAGGAAAAATTTTTTTCCAAGCAAGCTTCGCTCAAAGCCACATGCGACCTCTCCCTCTCACAACGACCGATACCACCTCCCTCTGGCCGAAAAGTATGACCCCCTCTATTGGTTTCACACAACGATTCTGTACCCTGTCTACACTTTCTCCCTCGATGGGACCCCTCTGACCACCTACCTTCCTTCCCACCAACAATTTGTCGACGATTGTGAGTAGGAAGAGGCAAGGATATACACCTCCTATCGACCAAAAAAAATTTTTCTTGTACGTCGCCAACACGCCAGCTACGGGGTACATAGCGCGCAATATAGGGATTAGAACAGAGTCAGATCAGGAAAAACCCTCTTGGCGGAATTCTACCCCCACCCAGCGGCCAAATATACCCCCACGTGGGTTTTCATATCGGATGATATCCAATACTTTCCTATTCTATTATTTACTGTTCCTGCATATTTACTAAAATCTCATTAATTTGTAACACAGTTAAATACAAAGTCTACCACTTCCGTAGAGACCTTCGAGATGTCCCAACAGAACTAGTGCCAGGGTTACTGCTCCAAGTGCTGAAGGAGAAAGAAAGAAAGAAGAAAGGGAGATTCACCTGATTCTCAACGTCGGCTCTACTGCACGAAGTATGTGAACTTCATCTTGATTTAAGAATGCTGTGATCAAATCCAGTCGCTTTCCTGCTAATTTCGGCCGCATTACCACGTAGTCTGACCCATAGACAGCCATGCAAGAGAAATCGAGTGAATCGAAGCGGCCATGGTCCTGAAAGGAAAAAAGGCTCGTATGGGGGAGCTGAGAGCTACCTATTCATGAAATAAAGGGTGAAAGGACATCCATAATCGTAGTGGTTTACTGTATGCCGTGTGGCTTACAGGTTTGCAAGGGCCAGCCGATGCACAATTCAGTGCTTTTATCCTCAGTTCACCACCTCCGCTCACTGATAAAATACGAGAAATAAAATCAACAGAAGGTCGAAGTCTATGCATCGGACTTGGATTTTCGGAAGTTCAAGATCCAAGTAAAGCAGGATGACTGGTGAGCACGAACAAAGTCATTAGTAAACACGCCTGCAGTCCAGCGAAGAGCACATGAAAATGTTCTACAACGTTGCAACGACCAATGTTGCTCGCCTTAGATGATACCAAGCTAATCAAATAATTAAACCACGCACTTCTGGTGCCCTTATATCGCAGTTTCGAGAAGCGGAAGTGATACCTTTTTGGGTCTCGCAACTGGCTAGCAAATGTCTGGAGACACTCTACATACAAGGTAGACGCAGAACCTGTTTTTGTGCAAATGTATCTATGTAATTTTCTATACCTTCTGAACAATCAATGGACGTTTCCGTCTTGGTGGTGATGAGTCACGCAACCGAGCCAACGCCGCGTCGCGAGCTTCCTTTTGATCTGCTGGTACCTAAAAGGTATCGCTTTAAAATGCCTCCTGAGAAATCTCTTCATTAAAAAAAAAACAGTAGCCATTGGAAAAGAAGTCGGCACAGTTCGGCTTGGCGTTGCCACGAACGGTTCTCAGCAAAGCCCGTATAAGCCGCCTTAAAGGCACGTTCCGCGATAAACTAAGGCTAGGTTCTCATAACCGTGCACGATGGTCAAGCAGGCAACGTCAGAGGCTATGCTGCTTTAAAAGTTGAAAAACAGCAAGCAAAACGCAGGGCGCTCAGGTTTTAGGCCCATTTGCGCCCGATAGGCCCATGCCGGCCTCCAGTGACCGTGTCGTTGTGACATTGCGTTGCCATTGCGATTGCCATTGCCATTGCGCTCTCTTGCCCGCCGTTTTTCTGGCCTCTCTCGTCTCTTATCAGTGTATCGCCGCCTTTCGCAATTCACAGTTGATCTTGACCACCTTACGCTCGTCCGGTGATCATGATCAATTGCAATAAAGAGGGTCTTATTCCGGGCGCTTTTTCGTGTTCCTTCTCCTTCAATAAGTCAACAAACACAGGGCAATTCTATTTTTGAACTGTATTACCTATGAAGTGTGGTCGCGGGAATTGCCTTTAAAGAATTCTGCGACCGAAGTGTTAATAGGCTGACTCCACTTTAGAGGTCAGTTAACGTGATAGCAAACATCTACACTTCTCTACTCTTATTCCGTGAACAGTCCTTCAACAGCGTTGAAAGAACAGAAGAGCTAACTAATAAATAAATAAATAAATAAATAATAAAAAAATGCAAAACAACCCACTTCATGTTCTTCTACGTCCATTCCTGATATTGTCGGATGGTACTCTACGAATGGAATAGGGAAGAACACCTGAAATTAAAGCCATCTCATGAACAGCCGTCCCATAAGGTCCCTAAGTCTCTAAGAGAACAACAATCTAAGCTCGCAACAACTACTATTACTTAACTATATTTATTAATTACTATTACCATAAAACAACGACTATTAATTATTATTACTATTACAGTCAAACATTCGAGGTGGGCTTCCGTAAGGATAGTGGCGCTAACATAGTTGGGGGCGGGGGAGGGTGGAGAGATCACTTGGCCATGCCACCAATCCCTTCTCCAAAAGACTTAGAGCTCAGACGACCAGAGTCGCCGTGTTGTAGTTCCACAGAGACATAGTCTAGAGACAGCGTTCAGACTCCGCCATGGCCACGGTCACGTGCTCGACGCAATCGATGCATTTAAAAGCATGCGCTTTGAATGCGTCCAACGCCATCGCGAAGACTGAACGCTGCCTTACCAATGAGCGTTAGTCTTGATTGAAGGGACGGATACGGAGAGGCAGCTAAGACCGGCCTTTTCGGAGTTTTGACTTTTCTAGAACCAGAAGTTGTACCTAGACAAGGCTAAACGAGCCTACCTGATAATGTTTTATTGTGTTGATACGCGCACGGTCAAGAAATTCTTTTTGCACATCGGCGTGTGGCGACAGCAGGAGGAATATCGATCCACTTCCATATCGATCAATGGCTTCATCGAGAGCAGCGCTTCCACCACGCACATCTGCTGATTTGCCTTCACGTGGAGCTTTTTCACCAGAAGAATCTTGCAACTGCAACATGTCCGACTCCAATCCAGAACGTTTGCATCTGAAAGTGTTATGTTCTAAAATTCATTTCACCAGCACATAACCTTTAAGGGGCATTTAAAGAAGTCCCTGTGCAAAACTGGGAATAACATCATCTGAACAGAATTACCGTGTCTCAGATTGGTCCACCTACCCCAGAACACCTTTGCCCTTCACGCTCATGGTAAAGCCCCTTGTAATTCAATTAAGGCACTTGGTAATTCGCTTAAGGAGGTTGCCTCTAAAAGAATGCCTCTGCAAAGCTATTAGCGCCTTCTCTTCCAACACAAGCGATTTATCCTATGTTTAGCAAGAGGCAAATGCAATCGCCCGAAGCTTGCTTGTAGTGTTTTACACATGCAAAAAAGTCATTGCGGGTGGATTTGCCACAATAGCTGCAGATAAGTTCCGACACATTAGCGCAAACTTATGGGGAAATGAGATTTGATGTCACCAGGAAGATTCGCATGAGATAACACAAAGCAGGGAGTGGGTCATCACATCCATGTAGCGGAGAGAAGGCGGCGGCACATGGGCGGCGCTTAAAGACAGCCCCCGCGCTCAAGTAGTACATGGTCGTCCTTCCTTGGGCAGGTAGTTCAGCCCCCAAGCTAGATACTATCTCACTCTCGCGACTCCTCAGCGAGCGAGGAGCGAGCTAGAACCGCTCAAAGTTCTAGTTCTAACGCCTGCTCAGTTGGACCGCCTCACTTGTTAGATGCCCTCTGACGGAGGGCCGCTCAGTTGTTCTTTGTTGGGGCGGCGGGCATTAATCGGAATCGCATGCCCTTTTCGCTGACCGCGCTCGTGCTCATGAATGATTCTGCTCTCCTTCATTACATTTTATTCATTGGGAGCACGTACAGTCAACAGCAACCCATCTCGTAAGGTAAAACGCGTAAAAATCACGAATGATGCAATTTCTGTGGTGCAAAAGCTCGACGCACTTCACTACACTAAAACATGCTCGCTACCGTAACCCTAAGTTCGGACGCCGGCTTTTTAAATGTTTCCTTTTCTTTTCAAGAGTTTTTCCTCTATGTTTCTGTTGTTTTTTTTTTCTTTTCTTCGCATTCGATGATATCCACTACTGGGAGATGTGACAAAGTGATTTGTGAGCCAGGGCTTGCACAGAGACCGCAGGGAGGTGTGACTGTCAGGGCGCGATTTTGTTTATGGTGTTCTTGAGGGCTCTTGTTTCTTTTTTCCTTCATTGAGGAATTACTTATCAGCTACTGTTTCATAATTGATCAGCAATTATCCTTGACACTTTTATCGCGGGAGCTGTCTTTAACCTTATCGACTCAAAGTGAACGTGTGGAATCAGCTAGGTGCTTCCAAAAAAAATGAAAACAAATCTAAGCATCTGCCAGGTAAGCAAGCGGTATACCTTCTCTTCAACTCCTCCAAATCATTAGCGATATTAGTAGCCGATCGTGGATCAATTCCGGGTAAAAGTGCGACAACAACACGGGTCTAGAAATACACAGTTTAGCAGAAAGCATAACAGAAGTAACGAAACCTATCCACCGTCTTGTCCGCTGCGGATGGTGGAGCGGTCAGTACGGCTACGTTTGGAATGATGCCAGCCTGTTTTCCACCATTTGCTGAAGCGGACAAGCGACCACAATTGGTGGAAAACGACTGATAGGAACAATACGAGACAGTCCCGTCACACGCAAACACAAAAAAAGAAAAAAAAAACGGGCTGGCGCCGCGCCAAGGCCATCCTCCCTGACACGCCCCATCAATCGCAACCAACAAGTCTGAAGAACATTGGTTTTTCTCCTTACCTTCCTTGTTTCTTCAGCTGGTGCGGTGCAAAGCCTTGCATGCCTCGCCAAAAGTCGTCGTGCTGGCAGCACTTCTGACTCTTCACTTACTGGTACAACGATCGTCATGTCCGTATCCTCCTTTACATATGGAACCTTGAAAAAAGATAGTCAATCAAGTCAGCAGAAGGAAAATTCTTAAACGGTCGCAGGAAAACCTATGATATTAGGCCTAGGAAAAAAGCTAAAATGGAGTTCTGTGAAATTTTCAAAATGTCTCGCCTGATTCATAAGTTGTGTGCCAGCAACCATACGGCACAGGTGGACACGACGCTCTACGGTAACTTGGGTCGCACTGTTCTTATAAACCAAATCGACCATATAATCCATACCACGCTGAGGGTCGAACAACCTGAAATATCGGGAAAAGATTATGATTTCTGTAGAAAAGAAAGGAAAAATAGGAAAAAGTACACCGAAAAGGCTGAAAAAAGGTACCGCCCATTACACTTGAAGCTTTACCTGTAACCATTCCGAACTTGAAGAAATTCCAGATCAGGTTCTTCCGACTCCACATGTTGTCTCGCAGCGGCAACCACCTACAGGTTTCACTATAAAAATTGATCCCCTTATAAAGGACAAAAATCCACTTACCTCCAGTACATCATCACGATCTTTCCCTTCTAATGGACGAACGTTCTGATTGGGTTCACTGCGGAAAATATCCTTCAGTGTGAAGAACTCCCATGTAGAAACCTGGAACAACTTCTAATCGCGTTTTTGAACAGAGGTCTTTTACTCGACTCAACCCCACGAATCTACTCTTGCAGTATTGCCCTTTCCCTACCCTTCCTGTGAGCTCCCCAAATTCTCTCAACTTCCTGGAGGTCCTCAACGATCGAGTAACAAAAACAAGTATCGGAAACAGGAGTTGTATGTTCTCGGCTCAAAAAATTCTTTCAAAACCAGATAAGACCTTCCTCATGGCTGGGGGAGGGGGGGGGGGCGTTTTTGCACCTTTTGGCCTGACCTGATCGCCACTCGACCAGTGTCGACTTGCTCTAAGACGCCCTCTGTTACTTGAGTTGGTTTTAACCCGTGTGCAGTTGCAACGGCTTGCCCAGCTTCACAAGAGTTCAACAGGATTCGCCAGAGTGAGTTTGTATACCCGTTATATTTTTCTAAGAAAGGCATTGATAGTACAAAACGCCGCCATCCCCGTCGCAGTTATTGTTCTGGGCCGCCTTTGCGCCTCATGATGTGATTTGGGCCTCCTGAACTACAGCTCGCTTCAGGCCGCTGGAGAGTCTAGCCATTTCATGTTTGCCTGAATTCTACCTATCTACGTCCCCTCGCCGATATAGTGTTCAGTGACTTCTAGTGAGATAAAAAACTGGTAAAAGGAGAATGCTACTCAATGTGCTGCTAGCCTAACCCCAGAAATTACGGGGTCCACTACATCCCTACACTTATACCTGAGGAAAAATTCTTCCAAGGATAAGCGCAATGGAGGGATGAGGTAACAATAAGACAACCCGTTTATGAAAAATCGGCGCGTTCCGGCTAAGAAGGGGTTCTACTTGTTGCCATCGATCTGAATGGATGTAATCGTGGCGGGGATCGTGAGAACCCTGAATATGTGATTAGAGTGCCAACAGGCCATTCACGTTTTGACAAGTGTTACATGGCTCAATGAGGTGAGACACGAAAGCTGACAGGAATCATTAAAGACAGCCCCCGCGCTCAAGTAGTACATGGTCGTCCTTCCTTTGGCAGGTAGTTCAGGCCCACAAGGGTATACAAGGACCGACAAGCTAGATACTATCTCCTCTAGCACTCTTTCAGCGAGCGAGGAGCGGCTACGAAACCGTTCAAGGAGTGTTCTAGTATCTATTCTAGAACGCCTGCTCAGATTGCGATCGCGCTCACTAGCTAGCGTGCCCCTCTGAATGAGAGCCGCTCAGTGGGTGTTCCTTTGTTGGACGGCAGTTTCATTAATGACCGCAACTGGCATAATATTTTTGCTAACCGCGCTCGTGCTCGTAAATATTTCTGCTCTCCTTCATCACATTTTATTCATCGGGAGCCCGTACACAATTAATGGCAACCCATCTCGTAAGGTAAAACGCGTAAAAATCACGATATGCAATTTCTTTGTGGGCTCCATATTGTTTCTGTTGTTTTTTGTTTTCTTTTCTTCGCATTCGATGATATCCACTACTGGGAGATGTGACAAAGTGATTTGTGAGCCAGGGCTTGCACAGAGACCGCAGGGAGGTGTGACTGTCAGGGCGCGATTTTGTTTATGGTGTTCTTGAGGGCTCTTGTTTCTTTTTTCCTTCATTGAGGAATTACTTATCAGCTACTGTTTCATAATTGATCAGCAATTATCCTTGACACTTTTATCGCGCAGTTCCAGTTCATGAACTTCACTAGTTTTTACAAAATGTCCACTTGATGGCTGGACACACAAAATGTGAGTTAGCAGAGCGAAAGTGCAAAAATCGGTCCACCGACCTTTCCAGCTTGCACAGGGTCCAAGAAGCCTTGAGGAAAAATCTGACTGGTAACTGATTAGGTGGTCCCCTTACTGTACGCAGGTACCCGGTCCGCCGCTGGCCATGTTGGCACCTTCAATCCCGTGTCCATTGTTGAGTTCATTAAGTTTCCATTTTCCATGCGAGCAATCTCACATCAACCCTACAAAGAAACAGCATAAAGTCAGTCTGGACCATCCTCTCGTATCCCTTCCTGAAAGTTGAAAATATAAAACTACCAAATCGCTTACTTGGCAACCTCCACGCTGACAAAATGGTCATGTAAAGCGGATGCGTCAGCATCTGACAGTAACTTCGTTACTGTATTGCCGGGTGAATAAAAACTTGTGTGTCGCGGCATTTATCAATAGGCACACCTGAGCCGTCTGTGCACCAATCAGTACATGCCACACCGTTGTAAACTTGACCCTGAAAGAACAAATACGAAATAAGAGTTAATCTTTAAGTAAGAGGCAGAAGCAAGAAAACCGGAGTTAGATTCATAGCGCTGGTATTCGCCTGCTGCAAGAAAGAGATTCGTGCGCAACTGCAGACAGCTGGTCTTCAAAGCCAGGTTGATCGGCATCAGAACCACTGCGCAAGAAGATTACAGGCATGTCGCTGTCTGAAAATAAGGCAGTAGAAACTGCAGCTTCAAAATTGCAATTTCCAGACATGGTACATCTTCGAGGTGTGGAAAAAATGGTGTCGTTATATAGGTATTTATATACTCGTTCGTGTAAGCGGGATTAAAAATCAACACTCTTCTTGTCCAATCAGAAACTTGTCCGATTTCCTGGGGTGCACAGGTAGCACCCTTATTACTCATATTATTTGACAAAAGATACGCGAACGAGAGTACCAGACACAGCACAAGGTTTTTTGTTTGTTTTTGTTTTTCTCTGACTTTCCTAGTTGCTCGGACTTTTAGTCGCGCTCTGTCACCTCGCCCCTCCACTTCGCGCGTATTGGCGTAAAAAATCCGCAAAACATAAGAGTTTAGAGACAGAGTTCCACATTTCCTGGTCGCTCGCCGACGTCTTCAGCTGGACAAGGTAGCAAGGCTTAAAAGGTGTATTCTTATTCCTTCGCGGTTCAGAAAAAAACCCATACTGTCAATGTAAGGAGGCACTGCCGCGTCTCTTACTGGCCCCACACCAAACACTCCAATTGTGGTGTATTTTTAAAAAGGCTTTCTGGCGAGGTGTTGGTTTGTTGCCTGGGGGCCGACTGCCGGCGTCCCTTTTCCGTTTCCTAGCCCGCGTCAATGTGAAAGGTAATAATGTAAATAATGTGAATGACATCGTTATTATAACAACAAGACAACAACAAGGCAGGGGTCCTATCTTGGGCATTTCAGAGTTTTCAGCATTTTTTCATCAGTACTGAGCCACCTATCACCTTGCCATTTGTACAGGGCTCCATCCTTTTCTCATCTCTCACTCATCATTTTTGAACGCATATTGTGCCTTTGGACGAAAGATTTGGGACCCAACAGGACAAAACTAACCACAACTAGCGGTTTATACTTTTTTGGCTCACATATTAGCTAATTTTCAACTATAGATCAGAGAAAACGCCTTAACTGGATCAATTCTTTGCATTGATGCGACTTGCTGGGGCAGTAGTAGACCCCTGCTCTCATAAATCTACAGTTCCGGGGGGGGGGGGGGGGGGGGGGGGGGGGGGGGGGGGGGGGGGGGGGGGGGGGGGGGGGGGGGGGGGGGGGGGGGGGGGGGGGGGGGGGGGGGGGGGGGGCATGGATAACCGATTCAGTAACCGGCTGATTCAATTTACTGAAACTTTTTCAGTAAGTAAATGCTGAAATAAGGGGCAATACACCTTGTGGTTGTACTCTAAGCAGCATGACTGCTTCTTGAGACTCGTCTAAAACCCGAGAGCTCCAAAGCTCCTACACGCTAATACATACCACCTAGCCTTCCTTTTGCTAGCAATGAAAAGACACAAATTTAGTGTAAAGGTAATTTCTTACAGAACCCGTCTCAATTGAAAGAGAAGCCTTTCAAGACAGAAATCCTTCCAAAAATTTAAAATATTGGGGGGGGGGGAAATGTGAAGTGTGAATGAAGATTACACACTTCTTGCTATTGGAAATTGACTGAAGAGATCACTCAATATGGATGATTTCTAGCGATATTTCTAGCGAACGATAATCACTCACACTATTGATGAAACGATTCAGTTCAAACGGATTGATGTATGTTGAATCTCGAACAAGCAAGAACCAGTCGAAATTCTCATGGAACGTCTGAAAATGATTCACTTCAGCAGCTACACCAAACCACCTCACTGTTAACCTCGGCGAACAACGAACAAATCACTAGCATTCAACAGCACGAGATCAAACACAACCTTACAACATTATGCTAACTCACCTGCACTGAGCTTTTTCGCCCGCTTAAATTGAATATATATAATTCACGAAGAAACTTTGATTGTTATATTTTACTTATATACAAACAGTGCAAATCATGCAAAGGAAAAAAAATAGTGAGGAAACTTTACCAAGTTGAATATTAGTCCCAGTACGAAGACGTGCGATTTTTGACCATTCGGCCTGAAACATTCACGTCATGAAAAACTAAGAGATCCTATCACACAAAAATAGGATTAAATAAATCGAGTTTCCTAAAGAAAGGGAATCCAGGCGCCGCCTGGTGACGTGTTATTTTACTTTCGCTACTTCCCACTGTCGCGTTCATTGCTTCAAAAGAGTTGACAGTTGACGTAATTCTATAAACTTTGCCTAGTATCACTTCTGGCTTCACAAGCTTTCACAAAAATCCATTTGATGGCTCGAAACGACAATGGGAAGTAGCGAAAGTGCACGATGCCCCGCCCCCCGAAATCCAGACTAACTTGTATGGGCTAAGGTTCGTCAGCTGCGCCAAATCAGTATCTATACGACTAGCGTCGGCGAAAACATGGATTCTCGGCACATGTCTGCCTAGCGATGCATTCATCGCGACCGCCAACGACGACTCCGCCAACACTCCAACCATAAGTCGCTCCCTTATTCCGAGTTCAGTGGCAGCAAATCTAGCACGAACCACCTGAAAAGGATCAATTTTAGCTCCAACCTTTATATAGATGTATGCGAGCTCGGGTGTAGTGCACAAGCAGCATCGTGCATAGAGCAGGATTTTCTAGCTGGTTGACTCGACGGAGCACTTTGCCGTCAAACGAATCAAATCGAGGCAAACTATGCCTCATGTTGTTCATTTCGCGACCATATCTACAAAAATTCTACAATCGATAATCTCTTGCTATCGGTGCTAGTGTCGTTGGGGGCGGGGGGGGAACACTATAATTCGAGCACCTCTGATTCCCTCTTCCTCAAATCAAAAGCTTGCGGTGACTAGTCTTTTCATGCGAACATTCTCATGATACGTCTGTCGCTCTCGAGCCCTCGGCCCTTTTACAAAAACACAAAGGTAGAGGTATTAGAGTGGGGCGGTCCGAGTGCACACCGATTCAACATGTTTAGGCGCCTTCCTTTCTCCTGCCACCGAAATTATGCAGGCTTGCCTGTCACACCCCGTCACTGAACAATGCTTTTTATTTAAGAACTCACATTCGTTGTGTGACCCTAAGCATTGAAGTAAGCAACCTATCCATTGTCGAATTTTGGAGATATAGCCAGCAAATAAACAGAACTAGGTGAGCGCGCTAACAGCCTAATTTACTTTGGATGGGCGACAGCACCTATCGTCCAGTCAGCTTTGCTAGTTTGCCCACGCAGGTTCAGCGGACGGGTGGCGGGGGGGGGCATTTTGTCTACTTCTGCACTTCTCATTGACGTGTCGACCTATCCAGACAGCCTCTTTTTGAGTTGACAGGTTTTACCCTGATGGTTTGAAGACCTTGCTCCAGCTTCACAAGATTTATAGATTTCACCAGAGTGAGACTTGTAAACTGGAACTAGTGAAGCAACGAAAGTACAAAATGCCCTTTCGATCGCTGAACTGCGCCGTTTGCGCTTCACGAATGTAATGCGGACCTCCGGAACTACAGCTCGCTTCCAGGCCGAAGATGGAAACTTTTTTTTTGGAAATATGACTCCTTCTTTCCCATCCTACCTGATATCACGTTTTTTCCCTATTCCTAACACTTTATCAATTAATATATAAAAAATAATAAAAAAAATAAATTTTTCAGTTTTTCGGTTTTCCCAAAAAAAACCTGCCGTCGAGCGTGGGAGGGGCATAGCAATATGAAACGGGAAAACCGTGAAAAGTCAAAACCGGGAAACTGAAGATTCCTCAAAGGCGAATAGCCCCCTCCTCCCTTCTCCCCTTCCAACAAAGAGTGAATATAGCCCCTTCACTGAATTCTCCGATCAAACAGCGCGTGAAACAGGAACAACCAACTATCAAAAATTGTTCTTAGGACAAATACGACTTCCTCTCTACACCAATCAAATACGATCCCCTGCTGGGATTCCCCTACGTGCCCTGTTCTCAACATAGGCTCAATGAGGTTTTCGTCTCGACGCTTCACATGTAGTGCACTAATCAATGAGAAATACCGTAAACGGGGATAATATGAGCGCAAGAATCCAGTCCTAGGGCTGCATAGACCTACCTTTGGTGTCGCATCCTGATTAGGAGGCGGTGACGGCATATTATCCAGATGTACGGTCCAGTGCTCGCTCACATCAACGAATCTGGAACATGACGCGAATAATTGCACCCCATTTACGATATGGGAGTACGAAGAAATAGACCGCGTTACGGCGAATAACTGCCGTTAAAGAAGAAGAATTAAGTAGGGAAAAAAAATAGCACTCACTCCTTTTGCGGGGCATTTCGTGAAGGACACATCGTTTCGCCGACTATATTGGTCTCTTCTGGTGAGAAGAACACTACAGCCAGCAGAGCACCCAGCATCATTCCGCCTAGGAGCGGAATGCACGTGCGAGAGCCGGCCACCATCCCGAGCGGCTATAACATCACATTTGACTGCACGGTCTACTTGCCAATCACTAATGTTTCATGGAGGATTTACGCACAAAAAAAGGAACCTGCTGCATTATGTCTGTGGAAACTTCACAACTTTCAGAAAGACATAGTCGCGAGAAGACAGAAACAATTGCAGTGAACGGCAAATTAGAAAGAAAAAGCTTTTTTGAAGCACTCACGCTACACATTAGAGAGCGTTCATACTTCGCGGCAGCGTTTTAAGCGACTAAGGAAGCTAGGTACTGATTCAGCGTGCTGAGCGTCCGCAAGAGTCTCCACTGATAATCGATACCTGCACTTTCTTAGTCGCTCAAAACGCTGATGCAAAGAACGCGCTCTTACGGTGTATGGGGCTCTAAAACAGTCCGATACGCACTTCTTTCCTTTCTTGAGCTCTATGGAAATGCAAAAGAAGTCAGAATGGGTATGGCATAGCCCCAGCCCGAAACTTTCGAAATTCATTAAAAAGTTTCGCGCTGGGGCTCAATATTTGATGAACGTGAAACGTAAGGCATCTGTAGATCAAAGAATCGTACTCAATGGGCAAGGAAAAAAAAGCCAAAATCAGCTATTAATCATATTTCAGACGATGTTCGGCTTGGAGGGAGCATGTTGCAAATTTGCTCGTTTATTCTGCTGGTTCATGTTAACTAACGGGTCCCATTTTGCCAGACTTGCAAACTCCTGTGTAGATGCGAAACAACTGTGCGAAAGGGCCACATCAATCTCAGGACGCCACATCAATCTCAGGACTTTTAGATTCTCACCAAAGGCGTGTGCAAGCTTAGCTGAACACCATTCGATGCCCGCACCAAGCCGATCTACTCCATACTTCATGCAGAAAAGTTCCAAAAAACCCCAAAAATTTCTGGTTTACAAGAGTCCTAGGTTTTGGAATAATTCTTTGTCCGTTAGCGTTCTACAGTATATTGGTCCTAGTGGGGATCGAGAATCTTACGGCACCAATTCTATAAATTCACTTGATACTAATTCCATTTTATATTTAATTCAAAAATAAAACAGGCACGGAAACTACTGCAGTAATGACACACATACCTCAGTCCACGGTTCACCGCCGATGACTGGCCGATTGAAAGCCGACGCGGACTCGCAAAAACCTATAAAAAACATTAAGCATCCCCTCGAAAACCTCACCAACTAGTCGAAACGGTAATTACCAGAGAAAGAGAAGACAGTTAGCTAATGAATGCTACAACCCAGCAAACCACAAGAGCAACAACAAAAACAGCACGTGTGTGATTTTAAGAAGCATGAAGAACTAGTAAAGCAGCAAAAGAAGTAGAAATCCCCCTCTCCTGTCACCGAACCGTGCCGAAACTGCTGTGGTCACAAAGAGGAGTAGACCTTCAGACTGCAAACGGCTGAGTTTTTCCTCGAGAAGCAGTGCAAAAGGTATTAGTGGAGAACCTGAGCAATTAGTTGCACCAACAATTCTTAAGATGAGTCATTCAGACAGGTGTAGCCACTGCCATTATAATCGTCCTCAAGACAGTTACGTACCAGAATTGCGCTTTTTTTTTAGGATACAAAGGAATAAGAATGAAGGCAAAATGCCTATGAAAAACATAGTGGCGGACCAAGATATTGCTAGACACCGTGAGTGATTGACTCCAGAGCAATGCTCTTGCAACTACAGCTTTTCCTGCCCTCTTTCTACATATGGTGCGCACAAATACCACCACAGAACTTACAACAGATGAGTGTAACTGAAAAAATTGTTTTGTACGCCGGCAAGCCAAAAAACCAAAAAAATGCGATAGAAGAGAGTCGTACTGAGAGGGGACGACTCGGCAGCGCTTCCACGTCCTGTCCTAACTAAGGCTTAGGAATAGAATGCTGACGTCCACAATCCCCGAGGGATAATCTACCAAAAGGTGCTTGGTCCTCATTTATTGTTAGACTGAACTTTTGTTTAGGGACTAAGGAGTGCTCCGCGAATATGTTTGCTGATGGAAAAGTTTAAGAGTTGCTTAGAAAAAGCTGCGACTTGGCTCATTCGCAATGGCATTAGGCCAGAATTTGAAAACGTTTAGCAGAGAAAGTTTTTGAGAGCCAATTATGTAAACATAACTGTCGCCCCAGACTTATCCTCAGTAGCTGCCTTCGAATCCAAAACATATTCAGCGTGCGACGGCTGATCAGTGCTGACTCACGTCACAATAAATATTTCTAAAATGTCTGGTCTACGTGCTGGTCTCCTGAGCAAATCAAGAACTTGTTGACGCTCAGGGATATTTATTCCAGATCGAGTCCAATGTAATCCTACTATATATAATCCGCTAAGTTTGTGTCTGTGTGTGTGTGTGTGAATGTATGTTTGTGTGTCTGTATGTGTGTTTGACCGGAAATTCATAACTTCCTTCAAAACAGCAGTAGGGCGCTCAAATTGATAGGTGATGTAGGAGGTAGGGCAGGAACACTATTGGTAGGTAGGGCAGGACGTGATGACAGCTGATAAGATAACATGAGGAGCCTTAGAAGGGAAGGATCACCATCTACATAACGCGCGTCACAGCAGCGGTAGAGCGTTGGTTCCAAGAAGTAAGGTAGAGGACAGGATGGGAACATTATTGGTCGGTGGCAGGAAGTGATAACAGCCGATAAGATACCATAAGGATCCTTAGAAGGTATGGGTCACCAAATTCACAACGCGCGTCACAGCAGCGGTAGAGCGTTGGTTCCAAGAAGTAAGGTAGAGGACAGGATGGGAACATCATTGGTGGGTGGCAGGAAGTGATAGCGGCTGATAAGATACCATGAGGAGCCTTACAAGGGAGAGTCACCAAATTCATAGCGCCGACCACGGCGGCGACGGGACGTTAGTTTCAAGATGCAAGATAGTGGGCAAGATGGGAACATTATTGGTGGGTGGCAGGACGTGATAACAGCTGATAAGATAGCCCCAAAAATTCACAGCATAGTTGTGGCATTACTGGACTATTGCTTCCAGCAAGTAATTTAGAGGTGCTTAGGTAACATTAGTAGTGGGAGATAAGTTCTGATAGTGTCTGACAAGGGCTTTTAGGAGTCGTATAGCTCAAATCACCGCGGCCAAGGAATCAGTGGGCAAAGGTTCGGCGAGCCAACATGTTTCTATGTTTCTATTCCTTGGCGATATAGTCGGATTTGATTCGACCGCTAAACTGTAGAGTTTCAAAAGTAAAAGCCCCGAAAGTTGCTCAAATGATGTACTAGGATGTGTGGACATTTCACATGATATCGATATTATTACCCTCGAGACTCTTTCAACCGCTAGGCTGTCCTATTTCCAACGAATGGCGAGTGTTGTCAAAAAGTGATAAGCGCCAGTCATTTGTAAATGCTCATTAAAAGGGAAAAATACGATGAAGTTGGCCGTATTATGAAGAATGGGAATTGGGCCAAGTGTTGTGCTCAGCAGAAAAACCCCCTGATCAGTACCTTAGGTTCAACCATGCGCGCAGTACTGCGCGTTAGCCAAACTGGTAAATAATAAAAATTAAAACAAATCATCAGACGAACATACAGACTTATATGCAACGAAGAAAAAGTTTTTCTCACTCCAATTGTCCGAAAAATCCCTTGATATCACAATTATTTTCTCCTCGGGATCCAACATCATGTATGTTAGATAAATGGACTTCAAGACACATTCTACGATTGTGTATTTGGCGTAGAGGTGCTCAATGGTGAACCTGCAGCTACTACAAGTAATTCTCCCCCACCTCAAAAAAAGGCAAAAAGACGTAGAGAAAATTGAAATAAAATGCCTCGGCAACCTCACTGTGCGGGCTTCCCGAACCTGCTGGTAAATTGATACCTTACAGCTTCTATGCATCTGCTGGCTCACATAAAGTTTTATCGCATTCTTGTAACATTCTACTGGAGGCGTACTTCCAAAATGTGACGACCGCAGCACTTCCGTCATTCAGTGTGCGGCCGCGGAAGCAGAACAATTTCTCAGAATGGCATCGAACTACTCCAACAAGGAAAGGATTTTGCAAATTGGTCAAGCGCAAAGTGTGTCCCCAATGAGACCGAAGAATTGTAATGCAATTAGGCATAGAAAAGGATAGTAACACACCAAATTAAATAAAAGCCGAAATAAAGATGTTATAGCAGCAATAAAGAGCGGTCATCCTACATAAAATGATTGTTCCACAGACTTTCTGAGGAAGGGGGTTTTGCGAAGTCGCATACTGGCGTACGTAGTCTGGCCAATAACGACGATGTGATGTAAAAGGATGCCGTGGACTTCATAAAACCACCAAAAAACTGCAACGCACAGTGACACATAGGTCGAACCGCAATCATGTTCGTCGCACTGGAAAACCTGTACACCTCGACCTCGTCACAACTAAATCTCCTTTTTGAAATAGAAGTTCCCAATAAAATTTTATGGGCTTGGTGTCATGATGGAAAAATGCGTCTAATTACTGGGTTATTCGGTGCCCTTATCAGAAACTGACATTCATTTTCAGCCCAGGCGCCGCACCCACTTTAAAAATCGTTGCATACCAGGGTTGTTCGATGGCCTTATCACGAATATGGCATTCATTTTTCGGAACCAACGCCATTAAGCGCTCTGCTAGGGCTGAGTTTGGGGTCAAGAGTGAATCCCTTCAGGCCGAGCTCAGCCTTGGTAGAGCGCAGATGATCGTAGTGTCCTCCGCCAGTGTCGGCGTCTGTGGCGCGGACGCCAAGCGATTTTGGGCCAAGCAAATGTGATATTGACGTTCTGAAGGTCGAAAAACCCCTTGAAATATATCTGTCCTCGTAGAAAAAAGTCGGTAAAAAATGGTCTGAATCTGGAAGATTGAGGTAGTGATTGTTGGGTAGTGCCTCAGTTTCTGATACAGTCTTGTTCACTGCGTAGGAAAAGCTACCAGCCTGTTCTTCACCCATAGCTGAAGCGAGTAAGTGACAACTTA